GCATGGAGAGTAAAGTGAAAACATTGTAGTCTGAATACTTATAAACTGTTTGGTTGGGAAAATGGAATGCAAAATCTTTACTTTTCATGAATTAGCTATATAATTTTTATAATATTATATATTTGATATTTAAATATTCATTGTTATTTCAATAATATTTTAAAATTGGGGCATTTGTATACATAGCACCCAATTCTTATGGATTTACCCGCTCACACCAAAACTTTCATATTTACAATCACCATATAAAAAATAGCATTCATTATCTTTTAGTAGTCAAATTCATCTTTTTATCCACCGGTAAAGCGCTACTTGTGTAAAAAATGAAACTTTAGGCTTGAGATACATAAATCCATAAGACTTGTGTGACGTGTATTTAATTTTTACACTTCATCCATAGGGAGAGTGCTTAACAAACTGATGAACACTTCTTGCTTAAAAAATCATTACTGCTGCTCATTATATCCTGCTTTGGGCACATATTTGGGGAGCAAATGCAATTATCAAATATTGGTAAAGCTGAGGCGTCATAATAATGGATTAGAATCATAATCAGAAGCGAGACAGAGCAACATAGATGCTTAACTAAACTTTTATCAACTAGATGCACTTGTTTACATGATTGAGCAAGAAACAATAACACCGTATTTCCTTAATTATAGTAGTAGACAAAAGCATTGAAAGATATCTCTGGACAATTTAGAGTTAAAAAACGCAAGCAACTCTTTCAGAAAAGGGAGAAAAAAGGCATTCATGTGTAGAGTAACTGATATGCACAACTTATCTTGTGTGATTGTTGAGTGGCAATAGAATACAAGAAGAGGTAGATAATTGAAAAACAAAAAAAAAACACTAATTGTAATCCCAAATTTGTAATACTAAACAACCAACATTAACAGATGTAGCACAACAATACATAACATTTACGAGTTGTGAAGCCACGAAACTTTGTATCTCTATGTGTTGTCGCCAGTCTTCCCAACAACAACCTCTTTTAGCTTCTCATCAATTTTGAAAATATCAAATCAATGTTTCTACTTTCTATAAAGATCTAGGAATGTGTCTTTGCAGTGATTGGCCACACCCATCCCAGAGAATGCACTAACTGAAGCATAGAACAAATGGTAGCACCAACAAAGAAAAATGAAGAAAACTATTCTAGTGTTTGATTCCTATGTCGTAAACTCATTTAAATCATAAAAATGTGGAATTACAAATGTATAAACAGCCATCGAGATCAAAATGATATTTCAAAATTTTGAGATATAAACTAGTTAGAGTAATTTATCCATTAATAAAAATGACTCTTCAGACCCTTTTATCTAATTCCTTCCTCTTCCATCGAGCTTTGGATTTCACTGTCGTGAAAGGAATTGAACGAATCATTGTAGGATTCTTGGATAAGTTTTCATATATAACATCAGTCTCTTCCTCGAAAAAACAGGAATGTTTAAAAGCTCTATCATAAGTTCTATAAATAATTTTCTTTCCTTAGTATCTATTGTTGTGTTCTCGATTACTACAGTAACCTTACCAACACAATCTGTCATCATAACAATGTACTACCCGAGAGTTTGATCAACCGCAGACACTTTCTTCTTCTTTTGTAGAACACCTTTTGAAGATGATGACATTATGTTTCCTGTGGCAACTTCTTCATATCATTTGAAATATTAGTAGCTTGTGTTTCATCAGCATCAGTCTCAATAAAACCTAAAAAGTTTTCGTCTTCCAAGTTAATTTACTGTGTCCCAATCGGAATGTTAGAATTCCCAGATTTAGCCCAATCACAAGTAACGTGCCTTCACTACATACTTTTTCCAACTCCAAATAACTTGCAAGTGACACAAGTAGGCAGTATCTTTTGGGTAGGCCTAGACTTTAAAAAATTAATCAATCATTTTTTAAGATGAATACTAAAAAAATGATAATTGATCTAAGGATTGACACATTCAAATAGGTAGCATCTTTTGGGTAGGCCTAGACTTAAAAAAAATTAATCAATCTTTTTTGAGATGAATACTAAAAAAATGATAATTGATCTAAGGAAACACCTGAATCTGTGGCGCATATTCCTCATTACCTATCAAAATCAATTTTTTAACCTCATGCCACAAGAAACCTGATTTTTTTCTAAGTTGTGGAATATAACCCTATATACTCCGCTGATGTTGAAGTTGATTTTTATAGTGCTCGGTTGTTACATCTATTCCAAATGTTCTTTTAATGTTTGTGCAATGCCTTGGAAGATAGCATCTTTAAAACCTCGAGCACTTCTCATATTAGCATCCACATATTCTGATAGAATAATATGAAGTAAACCTGCTATCCATTCTTGCTTTAAGCTAAGAAAAAAAAAAGCTTCCTTTTCCTATTAATTTTGGCATAATGAGCTTAATTTGTTGTAGGGACTCCATGTGAAAACACCTACATAAAATGATTTCACTTGTATGCTGCATCAGAGTGAAATAATATAATAAAAAAAATCAACGATAATGCACAATGTCATGCATAATAGAAAAGAAGGCTACTAATTTCAGAACTGGAATAAAAAAAAAGTGGATAAGACAATTATAATTGTTAGAAAAATAATTCAACCCCTCAATAC